GAGGAGGAGGAGGGGGGGGAGGAGATGGTTTATGTTTGAGTCGGCGGTTGTTATTAACGTTACAATTAGAAAAAGGTCTCGTTATCTCGAACTATGAAGCCGGTCGGTTTTACCATCTGCTACGTAAAATGATTGTTTTTTTTTTTGGAGGTTTCACTTTTTCTGCCAGGAAGAAACTGAAGATCAGATTCACTTTGTAACCTCCGATAGTGAAATGTGATACTATAACATCACCTCTGTCTCTGTTCTCATCCTGAACGATAAAGAGTCACGTTTAGTTCTACTCTCATCAGATCTTACCTGTCGATCGATTTCATGCAGCCGGTACTCAATAGCTCGTTCCACGTACTCCTTCCTGTTGGAGAAAGTGAGCGGGATGCTGTTTCCTCCCGGGATGATGGGCACCATCTTACCATCTGCACTCTGCCCGACAAAGGAATCCAGAGGAATCATCTGGAAAACAAACACAAAGAATAATCAGGCCAATAATCGATGATCGATAGTTGGTGGCACAAAGAAGTGTTCAATATTCCCACAAAAATAAGGAAGAACAAGACTGGCTGAAGGATGAATTCAGGGGCTAAACACAATTAAACTGATTATTTACAGGATATTAGTTTTTTTTAATTTGAACATTTCCAGATGTTTCCATGACTGGATAACCAGTCTCTAAATGTTGAGATTTTCCAGGTTTTCCAGGAGGTTAACTGAGCGTTACATGGAGCTGTTCCAGGAACAGGTAGTGATTAGCAACCCTGCACTGATCTGAGACACTCAAAGCTTTTCCTTTGAATGAACAGTGACGTAACCGCTCGCTTACAAAAGCTGAAATGTATTCATGTGTTCACTGGCCTGGCAACCGACAACGATTATAATATCACGGTGGGACGTTTGACGGCTCGTCTGGAACTCAAACTGAAGCCAACAGAAAAGGCGGACAGATTCTCTCTCTCTCTCTCTGTCTCTCTTCATGCCAAAGCAGCAGATGCAGCCCCTTCCTCTCCTCCCTCGCCCTGGCTGTCGGAGCCCATCGTGGCAGTGTTGTGGCTCCAAACTCCCCCTTTCTCTCCTCTACAAGGCTGGGAGCGGGGCCAAGTCTCCGGCAGGCAGGATATGCTGCATCAACAGCGGCCCTGGCATTCCTGCAGGCGGGGGCTTTACAGTGCAGAGGTCGTGTGAGGTTGTTTGGACAGACGAGGGGCTCCGGGGATGTGTTAGCTTTCTGCTGCTCTGTGGGGTTTTTGGGTTTGGCAGGGAGGGGTGTGAGGTCTGTGTCGGGGGGCTGATGAGCAGCTGCTGGGTTAGCAACAGTTAGCATACCACCTGTGAATGATGCGTCTCCACTTGTAATGGGTGCTGGGGGAGGTGGGCCGCCCTCCTCTGATTAAAGGGTGTTAACAGTTTTTATATAGAAATGTTTTAACGTACAGTCGCCCCGAACTGTCGACTTGAGATGATTTAATACAGCAGAAGGCGTGTTGAGACATTTTCAACCCACAAAATACCAGTTTCATAACTGTGGTGCTGTAAGAAGGTCAATATTCACACCAGCGTTGATGTGTTTCCTCCCAGTACTAACATTTATAATTCAGTGTGCAGTACCTCTTTCATACTGGTTAGAGCCACATCACTGTCAGTTTGGTTGGTAAATAGAATTAACCTCCTATAAATCACACCGTGTTCACTGCCGGCTCCTGCGAGCTCCCTGGGTGTGGCGCGGCCGCGGTATGTGACATTATTTGAAGTTTGCTTTGGTTGGTGACGGTTGAGTCTGGCTACGGGAATGAAAACAGGCTCATGAGGCTGCGAGCTGGCTGCTTATTATCTCTTTTTAGCGCCGCGCGTGTGCTTCTGACGAATCAAACGTTCACATGGCCGAGGAGAAGTAAACACGCTGCCCACGCTGTCAAAACAATTATCAGTCACCCTGTGAGTGTTTAGTATTGTGCTGTTGGAGATTAAGCTTAAATACGGTGTAACGCCGCTCTGATCTGCAGCCAGCGAGGATGTGGAAGGGCGGTGGTTCCCAATCTGATGTGTGTGCACGCTCTGATATTTAATATACAGCAGATATCTGTATTATTCTGTGTTGGCTGCAGCAACCAAGAACATTTATAAAAAGTCTTTCATACCAAATTCAATAACTTTACTCAATTCTTAAACACATGTTGTGTTATTAGTGGTTTGTACTGTGATTTATAGTGTTTTAATCAGCCTGTGAAGCCAACAATAAAGCTTATTATTATTATTAATATTACATCAGATTAGCATTATTACAGACACCTCACAGATACTTATTGCTATCCCGCTGTTATTTCCTCCGCTCTCCTTTATGAACCTCTGTGGTTGTATCTGTTGTATTTGCCCAGTTTCATATTTCTGGTAGCTTTAGGTTCTTGTGAATGTTGCAAACTGTTGAACTAGAGTTCAACTGATACTGGATCTTTGAAGCCGACAACAAAACAGAAGTCATTTTTTAACTTAAATACGTGAATAAAACAATACAAATTAAAAACTGACTTTAGTAAAAACATGGTGGCGCACACGTCTCATTCGAACGTAACAAAAACACAACAATTCCCAAATTCAGGTGATTCCAAAACATTCCAGCGATCCATCTAATGGTCTTTTAAGTGTTTCTCCTACTGTGCAGGTGTCTTAGAGACTTTTTGTTATTCTGGACTCATATAATGAATAAACTGAATTAAATGGATTAGAACACAAACAAACAAACTAATATGATAAAGATTCGCTAAATTCGGCTGTTGTGTGGACAGGTTTTTGTAAACCAAGTTACAGAAATAATAACAACAAATTAATCTAATTTAGATGAAAAAAATTAAATAAACTGCTGCCAAGAACCAACCGAGTCTGTCAGCGACTGATCGTCCTGCTGGGAGCTTTGGATTATTTTACTTGTTACTATTCTGTTTGATTGTTTATCCTGTTTATCCTGTGTACTTATGTCCTACGCTTGCTGTAATTGTTTGTATTAAAAATCCGTCCCCACCTCGTGGAAGTTCTCCTCGGTG